GTTTTCATTGCTAGGAACAAGATATATACATTTACAACTTAACTTGGGTTTTTGTTTCTAAGTTTGTGTTAATATTTAGTAAGGTTTAACCGGTCTGTTAACGTTTATATCTCCATCTTTTCCTCTGTTTTCATTGCTAGGAACAAGATATATACATTTACAACTTAACTTGGGTTTTTGTTTCTAAGTTTATGTTAATATTTAGTAAGGTTTAACCGGTCTGTTAACGTTTATATCTCCATCTGTTCTTCTGTTTTCACTGCTAGAAACAAGATATATACATTTACAACTTAACTTGGGTTTTTGTTTCTAAGTTTGTGTTAATATTTGGTTTTCTACACTCTCCAGAATGACCACTACTGGAGTTCGATGTCTAGGATGTTTCCTGATGACTATGAATGAACAAGAGTTGTCGCAGATCCCGGATGTAATGAATCACTTTTTCTAAAGTCTATTACGATATTTTATTACTTACCCAAACTTAATCGATCTAAGTAGTCCCTCATTTAGCCATGTTGTCATTAGTAAAAGGCTTAACCACTTTGTGTTTTTTTTTTGCGTGATTAGAATCCCTAAATTATGTGTGTTCTTCACTGAAAGTTGTCATGGATTTAACTCTACATCTAAGTTGCTCCACCTATAAATGAAAGTTGTTTACTATCCTGATAAAGAAATCTATGTTTTATAATCAAGTCTAGTAAACATGTTAGATGAACTTTTGATTAGGTATTCCTGCTTTAATATAAAGCTTACGACAGAAATAGGAATACTGTCTACAGTTCTTTGTTATGCTGTAGATATTGCGTTTAATTGAAATGAATTATTTCAGAATGTTCTTGCTGACCTCTCCAAAGATCTGAGCAGCTGTTGGAACGACATGATGAAAATGTCAGAGTCTACGAAGATGGTAAGGATTTCTAGCGAGACTTTAAAACAGTACGAAACACTACAGTTGATCAGCTACACACAAATACTGTTCTATATTAAAACTCTTTCGTTCTAAAAATAGGTTTCCCGGTGGGACAGCGGTAAGTTTCCGGCCTAAAATCTGGAGTTAGATTCCCCGCAGTGGACACAGCAGATAGCCGAAAGTGGCCTTCCTTTGAAACAAACCAACAATTCTTTAAAAAATCATTTCATACCTGATTTAAGTGCATGTTTTTGGTGAAAACCTAAAAAAACGATGTATAATAACAAATATACCACCGCCCAATTTTCCCATCACAGATAGATATGTTGAAGAATAAAGAAAAATTTTAGATTTTACTGGTCTAATATTGATAATCGAATTGCTTATATTTACTGTTAAAGTAATAAAGATTCGGTATAGAAATATTTACCGTGTTACTGCAGTTAAAATGTGTTTAGTTTTCATATAATACTGTGAACGTTAATAATAATGTTTCATTTCAGGTTACTGCAGTTAAAATGTGTTTAGTTTTCATATAATACTGTGAACGTTAGTAATTATGTTTCATTTCAGGTTACTGCAGTTAAAATGTGTTTAGTTTTCATATAATACTGTGAACGTTAGTAATAATGTTTCATTTCAGGTTACCGCGGTTAAAATGTGTTTAGTTTTCATGTGACTCCGTGAACGTTAATAATATTGTTTCAGTGTCTCAAAAAGCTATCTTTCATCAACTGGTTCAGGAAGCGTGAAAAAAAAAACACAATAGTTCTAACACCTTACGAACAAGAAGTTAAAAGTTAGTATTTCACCGGTAGAATCACACAAACTGAAAGGGGTTTGAAGGAAGTTTTAATAAACATAGAATAATCCTGTTTTGAAGTTCTGTCACTGGACAAGTTTTTTTCTTACTGCAATATAAATTATTTTGTTAAAACACAAATTTTGCGTTTACGTGTGTTATTATTTATTGTCATAACACTTTAAAAAACTTTTTGACGTTAACACTTTAAAAAAATTTCCTTATCCATAAAAACTGAAAAAAAAACATCTCTAAATCACTTATATGATAGCTTCCGCTTGGTGGTTTGGCAATGAGAAAAGAACATCTGTAACACTAAGAAACTAGGCCTAGCATTGCCTGGTGGTTAGGACGCTCAACTCGAAATCTATGGGCTGTATGTTCGTATCTCGTCACTAAACATGCTTGCCCTTTCAGACGTCGTGGTGTTATGATGTTTCGGTCAATCCCACTTTTCGTTAATAAAAGAGTAGCCCTTGAGTAGCTTTGCACTCATATTCGAAAATGCACAAAAAAAGGAACGATTGTGTGCAAACAACCTTTCGTGTAGCTTTGGGTGAAATTCTAAAACAAACAAAAAGTGATCCGTAATTATTATTGAGGGGAAAAAAAAAGATATATCCAACCTTTTCACCAACTTTAGCCCATTAGATTGCGTGTTGTTTCTATTCAAACAGGGTTTGTGCATGGCCGAAATTACCGAGGATGAACGCAACACCCTCATGAACCAGAAGAAAAGATTATGGAAGCGAGTTAACCAAGCTAAGCAAAAGGTAGCAGAAGACTTCCTGAAAGAACAGACTTCTGATTATCGGAGTAAACGAGGTGTGCATTATTTTGTTAAACATTGAATAACTGCCTTCCCACCCCCTCAATGGCTCGGCAATACTTATGAAGGCTTATAACGCTAAAAAACGGATTTCAATACTCGTGGTGGGCACAGCACAGATAGCCCATTGTTAAGCTTTGCGTTTAACAACTCTCAAGCGAATTTTAACAGTAATATTTAAAAAATCTAAAATCGGTCGTTCTGCTAAGTCACTGACACAAATAAATAAATTACAACAAACTCTCTACAGAACAGAACAGACTGTTTAAATTCTACTTCGTCAAAACTTAAAATAAATAATTATAGGTTTATCTCGAAACAGCCATATTTCCACTATTCATATCTTTAAACTTTACGTGTATAGTTAGATAACCTGTTACACAGAGGCAAATATATATTTAATAAGAGGATTTGTTTTGACTTAAACTCTAAGCCTAATTTACCAAGACTTGACTTTTGAATCATACTCGTGACAGTTTCATGCATTCATTTACACAGTTAAAATTGGTACTATTTCTCTGTAACATTTTCTGTTTGGTGAGTATTTTTTATTTATTTTTTTTTTGGAAACTCGTGCTTTAAACAATGTTTACATCAATCACAAACGCAACGACAATAAGTTAAAAAAACTACAACAGTGACGCCTAGCGGCAATGCGGTCTTTTATTACTTAATCACACATAATAATCAATATGCTAAAGAACAATACGGTCTTATAAAAGCTGTTGAAAAAAATAATTTACAAATTATAAAGCTGGCCTGCTTGTTATTGCAAACAGTTTTATAAATACCAAAAGTTCTAAGTTGTTATGTTGTCAACTTATATGAGTATCAGAATGTATAAAATAATAAAAGCCAGACGAAACGATTACACTGATCTTCATAACCAATAAAAGATTTATTACGTAATGTCAGTTTACCAAACTACATCTGCTAGCCAAAATTCACCTATCTTTGCTTGTAGGCCTGATGGTTAGGGTGCTCTACTCACAATCCTAGTGTCGTTGATTCGAACCTCCGTCACCGATTATGCTTGCCCTTTCAGCCATGAGGGCGTTTAATGTGACGGTCAATCCCACTATTCGTTGGCAAAAGAATAACCCAAGAGTTGGCGGTGAGTCGTGTTGAATAGCTCCTTTCTCTCTAGTCTATCACTGCTAAATTTGGGACGGCTGGCTCAGTTAGCCCTTGAGTAGCTTTGCGCGAAATTCAAACCCAATTTTGGTTGTATCGGCTTTAACAATACTATGTTTATCAAATCAACATGTATATTTTCCTATCAACTTCAATATATATTTTACTATACCTGAGAAAGAAAGACCAATGTTCTGGCGAAACATGTAGTATGTTTCACCCTCAATAAAACTCCTCCTTATATGTATAATTCGTTGTTCGTCTACCTGTTTTTAAGTACGTAATATTTTATGAACGGATTGTATAAGCTGAACTAGAAACGCATGACTTATAGTTCAATAACAATCTCTTGCAGACTTAAACGCTAATATCGCGGTAAAAAAGTAGATAAATAAATATTACTTAAGAGGAGGGGCAGGTGGCCTAGTGAATAACAGATAGAGCTAGAGCCCATCACGTCTAAGGTTCGAGGCCGCGATATATCGCTGGACACAGGTTAAATATAAAAATGACACTCAAGTTCGCTATTCGGTCTAGAGTAGCAGTCTAGGCGGTAAGTGATTGCCCTCCCTCTAGTCTATCAGTTCAATATTAGGGAGGCTATACGCAAGATATCCTGTATGTAGCATTGCCTGAAAATTTTGAAAAAATGTACACTATGACCGTTTATCTCCAGTTAAATATTAAGAATTTATATGATAAAATATCTCAGAGTTTTACTTAAATTAAGTAATTTTGAACACCTGTATGTAATATTAAAGTTAATACAAGAAATAAGAAATAACTGATATTAAAATAAATAAATAATATTCTGTTATTTATTATTACCCTAATTCTGATTTGTACATGTCTGGTATAAAAGGTGATAAAACTTACACGTTTAACCTAGTTTAAACTAGTTCACACCATAATAGTTCTTTTTTCATGTAATTTAATAATATAACAAAAACAAGATATTGAAGAATCTATCTATACACTACTAAAACACTGAGCTTGTTTGTTTGTTTGCTTATTTTCTCAGTCAAAAAATCATTCACACTACCGTTCGCGCTCTTTATGAAACTTCTTACTTCAATTTTTTGAAAAATGAAATGGTTTTTTCTTTTACTCCCAATCAACAATCAAATATCTTTTCTTGAATTATGAATATCACGAATGGATTGAAGTATTTAATTAAATCATCTCAAAATAAACTTTCATTTCGGTGCAATATTGAAATTAGCTTGAATTCTTCATAACCTCTGAATAGTGGTTGACCCAACGGGTCACGGTGGTCTAGTTTAATAATATAAATAGCGTCTCAACCAATACTCTTGTCTGTTGTATCCCAGCCAACCAGATGAGCCCTGGTATTGGCTAAAGAACCTTGTCGACACTGAATAGAGCAGTTGTAGTGTAGTTTTCAAATTGTTGTACATTTTTCTTTGCTCTTACTCTTAAGTTCTTGGAATTATATTTTCAAAAACTAATTTCATCCACACGAAAACAAAATCTTTCAAAATCTCAGTTCTGAAAGCTACATTTTTTATCAGAATCAATCCAATTGGAAATTTAATTAACATCAATATTCCACATTTGTAGCTTGGTTTTAATTTTTTTATTGTCATAGAAACTTTGTTATTTACAGAAACTTCTCGACTTACTTGCTCCGTTATAGAAGCAACAGGCTCGGTTGCAGGCTTCTCTGTAGCTGAATTACAAACGTTGTCCGAGAACGAGGTTCAAATGTGTTTATATCTCTTAGGCAAGGACGAACTCGAAGAAAAACAGATTGAGGTGTTATGGCCAAAGGTTAAAATGGTTAGTTGGGTTATGTTTTAAGCCCTTTCTATTTGCTAACTTTTAGTATTCGAAAATATCTAATTTTGAGAAAAACATACGTTACAACTTTTTGTTTTGAATATTTTTATAATCCAGAAAATATCTTAAACCAAATTCATGAAAATATTTATACAAATATTTTATTGTTAGTTAAGCATGTTACACGTTACTGACCAATAGGCCTTTCGTTCAATACCAGAACTCGTAATTTGTGCTGAACCATGAGAGAAACGCTATTCATATACTTTGAAAGCAACGGTTTAATCACCGAAAGCTAGCCAAACATTAGAAACCAAAAAGATTACATAGGATGGCGTAATATATTATAGGTACAGTAAAATAAAAATGAAATATACTACTTATATTGAAAAATTAAATCATTCAAACTTTTTTCACGTGCCAGTACTATTATCAAACAGTATACATAGAAATGTTTTTCCATTTAATTTCTCAAATTTACTATTAACAAATTCAAAGTTCAAGACGACTCGTGGAGTTATTTTATAAATTAGTATAGAGTAGCGGCAGCTTCCATCTTATAAATATAATAGTACTGTCTATTGTGTATGTCCACATAACTACTACGCAGGGTGTGGAGGGATCTTCATCATAACTGGTGTGGAGGTTCAATAGGTCCAGGCGGGGGTACCTACAAATTTTCAGTTTTGCGGTTTTTATGGAAGTTTTTGCGTTTTTTTTTTATCACTACCCCCACCTCTTCGCAAAAACGTCCATAAAAACTCAAAAACACAAATTGTGAAACCGCAAATCTGCATGTATCTCCGCATGGACCCAACAAATCTTCATGCCAAATTTGGTAAAGATCCATCAACTGTTTTGTTTTTACAACTACATATAAGGGAAGCAACTTTTTATGTCCTAAGATAACCTTTCATTAATCGTGAATTTACATAACTTCCGTCTAGAGGACGGGTACTTCTGTTAGTTGTTTAACAAGATAACGTTTGTTGTATAAAAAAAAAAGGTCCACAATTCTTAACCCTTTTTTCTATGACATTGGACTATTTTCTTAAAGTAAAAATATCCTTTTAAAAATAATATTTTGTTTGGGAAAAAAGATTATCAATTTCTTCAAAAAGTTGGAGTATTAATAAGTTATGAAACAACTTGCAAATTTTTATTGTAAGTGTAATTTTTAATTAGTTTCATTCGTGCATGTTAATGAAGAAATAGTAGTTTTTTTTAAATAAACAATTTTATATCACATAAAGAGTTTTATACTTTGTTTTCCGCACAATACCTTTCAGCATGCGCAACCAAAAGTGCACTATTTTGAAAGAGGAATAAATGACGATTACATTTGATGATTTTAAGGCGTTTTCTTATAAACTGATTTTGACAACAAAATTTTTGATTTGGCCCAATTTTGACAACACATAGTATACCTCGGAATTCCGAAAGCCGCCATTTTACTTAAGATAATAATGTTGGCACTTACCAACACAAGGTGATTTCTTCATAAAATTTCATAGTCGTCTTCACTGACAATTAACGGATAAAACGTGCTAATTTTGTATCAATGACGTAACGACACGTGGCAGCAAATCAACCAATAACGACTTACTCTGATGACTGTTTACATCAGTAATACCTTACAATACAATAAATTGCAATATTGTTTTTTTTCTTTTCATGTCCTTCTTAATTTACCTCTTGTGGGAGGCAGGAGATAGATCTGAAATGCGCTCGAAACCCTGTCACCGAACATGCTCACCCTTTCAGCTGTGGGAGCGTTATAATGTGACAGTCATTCCCACTATTCGTTGGTAAAAGAGTAGCCCGAGAGTTGGCGAAGAACGGTGTTGACTAGCTGCCTTCCATTTAGTCTACCACTGCTAAATTATGTGACGGGTAGCGCAGATATCACTCGAGGAGCTTTGCGCGAAATTCAAAACAAAACCAATATCTGAAATGGTTTTACACAATCACATTCATATACCAGATGCATGACCCCAACCAAAATCCTTTATGTTAAAGGATATTCAAGCACGTGTTACCACAGAAGCAATCGAAGCTGAACTAACATATATAATAATAATAACATACACTACACCAATAAAGAAAGAATCATCCCAAAAAACACACACAAAAAACAACAAATATGGTTAAAGTATAAACACGCAACACATACAGGCTACGGTATTGAACGGTATAACACTACGGTATTATAGATACACTATTGAAAATAGAAAAATACCGGCAGTAGTGGAGTCCCAGTGTTACAACTGCCAGAGATATGGTCATGTTGTGGCAGCATGTAAAGAGGTGTGAGGAAAAACACAGAAATATCGACTGCCCTAATGAAAATAACAAACCCTCATGTCGTCAACAACATACTGCAAGTTATAAAGGATGTCTTAAGTATAAGGACATTCAAACACATATACAACAAGTCCATCACAAGAAGAAAAGGTCCACATGTGGTTTAATTACTAAGGATGTAAATTAAACGATGACGTTATATCATATATACATATAATCATGTATATATATATTTCCGTTTAGGCCTATGGTAGTGTAAGTAATTTAACCGAAGACGAAATTCTTCTCCTTGGCTACCTCACGAAAGGTTTTTCAGAAACGGATATCAACGAACTTCCACTTACAGCGTCATCTATAGAGGAATTTGGCAAATACTGGGATTTGAGTGAATCGCAGGTATTTCTATATTTATATTACAATTACTTCTTGTAAAATTTCAATTAGAAATGTGACATATATATTATAAGCTGATCATAACCGCTTGTTTCAAAGCTGAAGGAATTTTTTGGATAGCTTTATTTGCAGCAACAACGATTTATAACCATAAGGATGACGTATGAAAAAGACAGACGAATGTTTTGTCGAAACACTTAGTGTGTTCCCCAATCAATAAAACTTTACCTTTTGCTTATAAATCGTTCTTGGCCTGCCTATTATCGCAGCAATATAGTTTTGAATTACTGTAACTTTCTTGATTTTGTGTTAGATTAGTTTTAAACTATAATGATTTAAACAGTTTTGAGTTAGAAAAACTGTTATGAATAACAACTGCTCATATTCATAAATATAATGGCAAGTTAATTGATTTTGTGTTAGATTAGTTTTAAACTATAATGATTTAAACAGTTTTGAGTTAGAAAAACTGTTATGAATAACAACTGCTCATATTCGTAAATATAATGGCAAGTTAATTGATTTTGTGTATGTTTGTTTAAACTAAGTGTTACATTTTAAGTTACAGATTTAACATGATAGTTTTTAATTGTTCATACTTTTAAAACCAAATCAAACAGAATTAAAGTAAATGGGTTCTAAGTAACACAGTCAAACTATAGATTGTTCTAAGTAACACAGTCAAACTATAGATTGTTCTAAGTAACACAGTCAAACTATAGATTGTTCTAAGTAACACAGACAGACTATACATTGTTCTAAGTAACACAGACAAACTATACATTGTTCTAAGTAACACAGACAAACTATACATTGTTCTAAGTAACACAGACAAA